ACCAATTTCTCAAAGTACTTAATGATGATAGGAGTGAGTGCCACTGGTCTATAATCATTGAGGTTATTGATAGGGAACTTCTTTGGCAATGGAACAATGGTGGAAGCCTTCAAATAAGATGGAATAGTGGACTGGGATAGTGGACTGGGATAAAGACCGATTGAAGATCCTGGTAAAGACTCCAGCCAACTGATCAGCACAGTCTTTAAGCACTCGGCCAGAGATACCGTCAGGACTGGCAGCCTTTCTAGGGTCCACAGCCCTCAGAATGTTCTCACCTCCTATTCCTCCACAATGAGGTGGGGGCTACAATTGGGTGGTAGTTGTATTTTATCTGTCTCTGATGTCTCCACTTCAAAGCGAGCAAAGACTAAGACTCCAAGGTCCCTCTCACAGTTACTATTTTGGAACCAAGTTTCACCTAATCTGTACTTGTACCTTTGGTTTTTCCTACACAGTGTAAAACCTTGTTTTTCTCCACATTAAATTTCATTTTGTTGGCTAGGGCCCATTGTTCAAGTCTGTCAATATCTTTTTGGATCTTGAGCTTGTCTTCTGGGGTGTTGGCTGTTCCTACCAGTTTAATGTCATCTGCAAATTTGATGAGTTCTCCTATTATCTCATCTAAGTTGTTTATGAAGATATTGAAGAGTACTGGGCCTACAACAGAACCAGTGATGGTATTCAAATTTTTTTATTACTAGTTCTGTGGGAGTGGCAGGGGAAGGATACTGTAAAATCTCCAGTCAGAGGTGGTATTTGCCAGTTCTCTGAACTACTCAAAATTTCCACTGCTGGTTCTCCAGAACTGGTGAGAACCTGCTGAATACCACCTCTGGACAGAACTTTGTAGTACCCCATTGCTTACTTGCCTCCATGTCGATGTAGTACCATTAAGGACTTCTCTTTAAGTAAAGTTTGTCAACCAGTTACAAATCCATCTGGTGGTGGTGCTGTCTATCCCACATTTTTCTTGTTTACCAAGAAGTAGATTTGGTCTACTTTGTCAAATGCCTTGCTGAAATCTAAGTATCCTATGCCCACAGCATTTTGCTGATTTACTAATTTAGCCACTTTGTCAAAGAATGAAATAAGATTGGTTCGGCATGATCTTTTTTAAACAAACCTGTATTGGCTACTAGTTATATCTTGATTTGCTTTTAGATGTTCGCATATCTATTTTTTTATTATTTTTTCCAGTATCATCCCAGGTATTGATGTTAGGCTGATTATTCTGTAATTTCCTGGATCTATTCCACCCCCCCCTCTTTTTTTAAGATGGGAACCACATCAGCTCTTTTCCTATCCTCTGATAGTTCCCCAGTGCTCCAAGATTTTTTAAAGATACGATACAATGAGTTCTGAGATAACATCTGCCAGCTCCTTCAGAACTCTGGGTATGTAATCCATCAGGTCCCAGTTATTTATATTCATTAAGATCAGATAGGTGTTTTCTTATACTTTTCTTGCTTATTTTAATTTTTATTTCTACTCTGTCTTTTATAGTTGTAGGTAGGTTAGGTTATAGTTTCCTTTTGTGTGAAGACTGATGCAAAGAATGAGTTAAGCAGCTCTATTTTCTGTCTACTGCCTGTTACTTCCACGCTCTCTTTTCACTTTAGTAGGAGGTTTAATGAGGAGAAATGAAGAGCATCCTACTCTCTATTTCATTACTATTATTAGCTGGAAATTTAAAAAGTAGTGGATTCCTAAATGATGGCTTAGCTAGGGACAAATTGCATCTGTCCTCAAAGGTAAGTATAGCAAAGGTGGGGGAGACCATACTCTTCTGCAATTTTTTTATGGAATAAGAAATTCAATATTCATGGGAGATGGCAGGATTACTTTAAAAGAATGACAAAATAATTGTGGACTGTGTAAAATAGATTTGGTGCCAGTTTTTTTTTTTAATCCTGCACTTCTATGAATTTTGCTCAAGGAAATTTTTTCTTCATATCAGACTGGATCAATGTGAAATTAAGACTTTTTTTCAGTTTTTAATAAATCCTTTTCCTAGGTTTTTTCCTCAGAATCCTTAATCATGAAATCATGAATTGTAATCCTAACCTGGATTAAATCCTGCCATCAATTTTCATACTAGCCTGGATTAAATTCTGCCATCTTTTTTTTTTCTATGTCCACAATGGCATTGTCATTTTTTCTCCACCTCAAAGGTCAGGCAGCCAGCCTTAAGTCAATTTTAGCCGATCCCTTATAAAGTGTTGAATCCAAAAGCCAAAAGCAATATATGCCAATTCTAAAATGAGCAAAATACCAGGCACTGTATTCAGATGATAGTAAGAGATGGAGTCTATTGAGTACCTACCATACTAACCATTTTAGACTGGAATAAACATGTCCCTTCTCCTTAATTACCTGCAAATTAAGTCTATTCATGGACCTATGAAGAGCATCTGCCCATTAAGACAAGCTCTTCCTTTTCACCTATGACTTCCTGCAGTCTGCAGATCATCTGATTGGTGGGTTTTAGAAAGTGAAGAACAGTATCACACTATTTCTCAGAGTCTGATGATGATGTGACCAATAGACTACAAGTGTCTATTGACTATCAATAGATAAAAGTGTTGATTTTGATATTCTTACCTAGCAGATTCCCACCCTGCTGATTAGCAGACTTAGGGATTATTCAGTGAAGTAGGAGAATTCAGCTCTTTCAAGACTTGGATTCTTGTGAGCTTGCCTAATTGTTCTAATGTGGCCTGCCATTAACTGATCATAATGGGGTCAACACTTATCATCACCCCAGAAGGAAAATGTACATTTACTTGTACGCTACATTATGCTTTCTCCAGCAATCTTTTTACATCAAGCTTATCTATCAATTCGTTCAGATACCACCAGGAGATATTTACCAGCCTTATATTTTGAAAACAGTCAGGTAAGTCACTCACTACCTGTAGATGAAATCCACCAAAGCATTCTTTTCTAAGGTTTCTAAGATAGCAACTCAATACATGCAACTTGGATTGTATTCTTCGCAGACTTGTAACAACAAAACTGAGACCAAGGACCAGTTTTCACTTCACTCTTTCTTGCTTTCTGTTTTGGTTAATTCTCAGGGTAGAACTGAAATTTGTCCATAGTAATAAAAGAAAATGTACATTAAAATGTTTGTGAGATGCTTTAAGAAAAGCAGTTGAGCATTTCTTCCACAAGGAAAAAAAAAGGAAATAGTCCGTTTTATTATTTGTATTACAAATGAACTAGTGTTTTGACAAGCTTCAGTTTCAAAAAAGAATCTGCTAAAAGTGGTCCTTGATCCTTCTTCATCCTGAACCCCAACAGTTACTAACTCAGATTAAAAGCTTTTTTTTAAATTGCACCTCAGAACTACACCTCCCAGCATTCTTTGCAACATTTTAGGTTATATCATCCCACAATGGGCGTGGGGGGTTTATAAACCGAGAAGGCGTCTCTTACTGCGAGCGGAGTTGAGAGAGTCTTTTGACTTGAGCGGACTTTGGTTCTTGTGGGAGATCTTCGCTTCTGCTAACCACCGGCAAAGAAGTGAGTAAGAATTTAAGAAAAGTTTGGTTCTAACAACAAACTAACTATTTCGTTAGCAGGTACGAGAAAGAAAAGTGTTTTTAAAGACAGGGTGAATGTCCAGAAGGGATGTTATAAAGATTATTACGCTCTAGCTGTGTATTTTGTTTCTCTGGTTCGCTGCTATATTGACTGTTCAGGGATGACTGTTCACCTAGTTCTGTAAGGCGTAAGTCCTCCAACTTCATGCAGTTCGGATGGATTTCATTTCGACTCTCCAGGACATACATTTACTGTGTTTTTTCTGATTATTATTATATTGGGAAATGTGATTCAATGATTACCGGGTCTCAGAAAGCAAAGGGCTGAATTCATCCAGAGAACAATGCATCAAAGCTTCTGTTACCTTTTGCTTTGATTTCTCACCAGGAGAAATGAGTTACACTCATGCAAGTGTAATCCTTGAAGGTAGGCTCCGGAAAACGAACGATATTTATTTGCAAAAGTCAAATAGGCCATAGAGAAAATGTATGTTAGAAGTCTTGTAATGCATATTAGCATTATGATATGCCTTTTCCACTTGATTGCTTATATTTTAACTAGGCTAGGTTTCCCACAAGAGTACCAAAGGACTGAGAGGAACTTTGAGACAAAAATTGTACAGCGTTCTACAAAGCACTGAACAAAAGTTATACAGATTTGCTTTGCACACATTATAGCCCTATTTTGTGTTCTGACTTTTGCAGGTGGGACTTGCCTCAATCAGTAGAAAACTACTACCTGTTTAGGATAACAGATCAGGTGAGTCTTAATTGTTTGAATGTATAGAAGATAGCATCCTCATAGGAATGGGTTTTGAAACAGCACCTTACTAAAATCCAGTATAATGTTTCATAATTGCATAGGTTTACTTTTGCTTCTCCTTAGTCATGCCTAAGCATCAAAAAATGTAAGGGAAAGTTTCAAATTGGATTTGGTGGTTTTTATTGTCGTAGGTCATTCGATTAATGCTATACCTTGCTCATTTTCTAACAAGTTCTTGCCAAATGGTTCAGAGTTTTTTCCTGCAATAATCCTGATAGCTGCTTAAGTCTAACTTGGTTCTGGTCAAATTTTCAGCTTCATAATGTGTGAACGGATCAGAGTTCCCAACTTCTTTTTGTCCTGGTCTTTAATCATAGCATCTACTCAGGGAGAATTTGGGTTTCCAGAGAATGTAGGTTTTCTTTGTATTTTATTTTATTCCTGTTTCCAATTTCTAAACTGCCCATCTCCCTTAAAGAGTCCTTTTAGCAATTTATGACTGTTTTAGAACTTCTGCTGAGGTGTGTAATGTTTTCCCCCCTTAATTTGCCTACCTATAGGTTTCTCATCTTAAAGAGTGCTCGTTAGAGTACTTGTTTTTTGTGTTTATATTTATTTTAATCTTCTAATGTATTTTCTGTATCGGAACTCTGAAAAACTTGTTCGTTTCTGATCCAGAGTAATAAAGGAGAAGTCTGGTGCCCTGTGAGGTAGGTGCTGCAATAAAAAAGGCATGCCTCCTGGGTCCCACTAGATGACATTGTTTCTAGAAAGGAGTTGGAGCTTGCCCAGTACAGAAAGTAAATATTATTTTGGCAGAAATGTGCAAGTACTATTACCCAGCCAAAAGTGTTTCTGAGAAAACCCTAAAAAAAACACCATGCTCTACCAAGTTTCAGTAATATATGCAAGATTAACCTTTTCATTCACAATTAAATCACACATGAGAGGTGCTTTATTAGAGACTGACTTACATTCAACAGTAATGCCCCCAAACTGGAACCACTAGGGCTCTGATCACAAGGTATTATGGTAGAACACAGGGCATTTTGGTTTTAAAAGGTGGAATCACCTTCCTCATGAACAGTCTGCTCCCCACCTCCACAATATTATTGTCTCTCATCTTCCCCTTTCCCATGCTACACAACAATGTGTAGTTTTTAAGTGGTTAACATGCTAGACTAGAAGTGGGAGAACCTGAGTTTCAGGCCTGTCTTAGATATAAAGTTAGCTGGGTAACCTTAAGCCTGTCACACACACACCCAGCCCTGAAAAGTTGACAAATCACTTCTGAAAATGCTTCCCAGAAAACTGCATGAAGTTTTGAGAGGAAAGCATAACTTTACCTAGCTCCTGTTAAACATACCAGTGTAATCTAATGGTTAAAAAGCACCAGGCTAGAAACTTGAAGACTATGAATTCAAGTCTGGCCTTAGTCATGAAAGCCAGCTGGGTGACTTTGGGCCAGTTACTCACTCTCAGCTGTTGTGGGGAAAATAGAAAGGAACATTATACATGCTTACCATCTTGAATTGTTTATAAAAATAATAAAAATGGGATATAAATAAATAAAATACATTGACTGCTGATACTATTCTTTTTAGCTATAGGCTAGCTATCAAGGACACCATCACTAGACATCTATTTTGGCCTGATTGGCAATTCATTTGCTCTGAATATGTCTAATCAGTGCACAGATCAGTTCCTTGTCTGGTACCTTAACCAAAACACCACATTGGTTCTTTCTAATGAAATTGCAGGGATAGATTGGCAAGCTAGAATGGCATTGTCAAATATTTGACAATATGATACTAACTTGCCAATCTGGGGTGAAAAAAATCTTCCTAAAAAATTTGTTTTTAAACTTCTGTTTCCCTTCACTTCCCCAAATCTTGTATTTTTTCCCTCTGAATCTTGATACCTGTAGTCCCGGGATGTCAAACTTACCGTCCATGCCCACTTTAACAAAGGGAAAAAAAGTTGTGATACATCATGTGATGATGACATGAAGACACAAGTTTGACACCCCTGCTCTAGCTGTTGGAGATCACATGCCACAACATAGTTCAAGCAGATATAGCCCACTTGTGTGTAGATGCAGAAATGTAGATTCCCGAAATTAATATTGAATTTCCTTTGCATCCCTATTTAAGGACATCGAGCTCAGTTTCTGCCTGTCACAGAGCTGTTAAGACAAGCACAAGTTCAGAACTGTTTCTGCTGTTTGGTAAGTAGTATTTACTTGATGGTTTCATGACACAATTAGTAATCCCATTGTTTCAATTGTTAAAGTCGCTGTGGTTTTTGTTAGCATGTGAAAAGTGAAAGTAGAATACAGTACTGCCTTTAGTTCTTTAAAAAAATATTTAAAATGCTTTCTCACTGAGCAGTTGGCTCTTATCTCGTTATTACTTTACTAAACCAGGGGTGGGCTGCTACCAGTTTGCACCAGTTTGGGTGAACTGGTTGTTAATTTTAGCGAACTGGCAAATCCCACTCCTGGCTGACCCCGCCCCTCCCAGGAGTCCCCACATGGCACGTTTTGGATTTCAGGTAAGTGCAGGGGCCGTGCGGAGGCTCGGGGAGGGTGAAAAACAGGCCTCCCAGAAGAACCGGAAGAAGTTCCAGAGAACCTCCAGGGAGGCCATTTTCGCCTTCCTAGGAGCTCGAGGAAAGCCTCTGGAGCCTTGGGAGGGAGAAAATGCCCCCCCCCCCAAAGCCCGTTTTTGCAACAAGGGTGGTGCAGGAGGCCAACTAGGGCATGCCTACCATGGCCATGCCAACCCAGCAACTGGGCAGAGAACCGGTTGCTAAACTATTTGAAGCCCACCACTGTACTAAGATCTACCAGTAGGGGGCCACTTCAGCTTGGTTGGTGGTAGGACTGCCTGAAGAAGTCCAGCCAACATGGATTGAAGGCGCTGGTAAGATCTCTGCCCCACTTCCTAGGATTACACAAGGTCAAGAGAATCTGTAGTTACTTTGCAAGTCATTGCCATGATATCTTCCTTGCTTCTGCCAACATGAATATAAATTATCTTGGCTGAAAAATAGTTTGTGGTAGGACTGTCTGAAGAAGTCCAGCCAACATGGATTGAAGGTAAGGTCTCTGTCTCTCTTCCTAGGATAACACAAGGTCAAGAGAATCTGTGGTTACTTTGCAAGTCATTGCTGTGATATTTTTCTGCCAACATGAATATAAGTTATCTTGGCCGCAAAATAGTTTGCAATCATATCTGAATAGCCTGAAGGAAGGTTGTTCTGCCCTCTTTTCTCAATAAGATATGGGCCCAAGGGCATGAATGCTTTGTGTTTAGTGTTAAAGGTAGCTTGATCATGTTTGGAGAATAGATAGTTCCTGTGCAAAGTTATTATTAATTTGGCTCTCATTCTGCAAAGGGAACCAGAAGGAGAGGAAGGGAGAAGGGGTTTGATACTGAAGGGGTGAGGGAAGTGAGAGATTTACAAACACCAAACACAATTAAGAATTGGAAGTCAAGGGAAGCAGTAACTGTCAATTAGATTTCTTCATTCATCCCATTAGAAGACTCATATAACTGACACTGACAATAACAGGCAACAACATTACTCATTGTATGTTATCTTTCCAGATTAGAACAGAAGTGCAAATGTATGATTAAACAATTTTTCAATACTAAACTGAGATTACTTATTTTTGTTAATTCCTGATCTGTTTTCTGACACCTTTTAAAAAACTGGATTTCCAGTAAAGTTGCTTCCTGAATTCTGCACTTTGTTTTAAAAAATATGCAGAGTCAAAATAAATGTGGAGCATGATTGGAAATCTCAAGCTAAATATCAAAATATAGAAATTGTACAATGAAAATCAAAGCTGTTCTTCTCTTTAAAATGGAATTACCTGAAACATTCATGGAGTAATTGTTATTCTCTATGGACTAGAGGTTATCTAGTCCAAACCTGCACTTAATCCTGGATCCACTTTTTAAACTCAGCAACTTTTAAGAAAGGTAGACTTCAATTCCCAGAATTCCCCAGCCAGCAGTGCATATTATCCATAATATAGCAAATCTATAAAGCTGCTGTAAATGTATGCAAATAATTGACTACAAGTATTTCATATGACTAATATCTTCATACCTGATTTCACTTATGGCTAAGTAGATGGGTTATTTGTTTTCTGCCTTTGTTGTATATAGTGTAGGATCTCTATTTATTCCTCATGTGAATAAATACCTCATAACTATTTCATAGTTTTTTCAGAGCTTACTACAGCTTCTGTTAATACATGAGTTATATTAGGAGACCCAAAACCAGAGTTTGAGAATTTGTTTTAATATCTGAACCAAACTTGAGTTTTAGCGACTGAAAAAGACTTAAACATGGGCTTTCTCAATAATAGCTCAATATTTTAACCACTACAAGCATCCCTTCCAGCCCAGCAGCCCAACTGCTGGAAGAGATATTTGTAGAAGCTGTTTATAACAGAATTGCAACTTAGTTAACTCCCCTCTGCAACATCATACACCGTTTAATGAGTATTAAAAGCACAGGAGCCAAGAGGAACAGCAGCATCCCTAAGAGGATGGTGTCAGCTATATTCCTTTCATCATATTATGGAATTAAGATTCCACTTGATGTTGATGAACCAAGCTATATTTCTCTGCAATTTGTACTGTTCATGCTCACTATGGCAGCTGAAAATTATGATCCAGCATCATCTGAAGGGCTGTGTATTGGGCTTCTACTGCTATTTTCAGAATGTAATGTCTTCCCGATCATTATTTGAGGTCATTAAGAGCTGCTCCATGGAGCTTTGTCTCCTTGGAACACCTTTTCCCTGTCTTGCAGCTACAAAGGCTCTTTCAGTTATCCTCAGCCCACATTTCAGATGAAGAGAATTGTAGACGAGAAAGCCCTGACTGGGGGGAAGCTACCTTATTTCAGTGAATAAAGCTATGTAATGCTGAACTAAGGATTTGCCAAACACTACAGGGCCAAAAGAGGTAAGCCTAAGTTTTCAGTCAATCAGAGGGCCCCAAAGTCTGAGGCAGAAAGCATACATGGCTTTTTTTTTAAAAAAATGTTGCTTGGTAGAAACTGCTGAGTCCAAGAAACATTTTTTGGCCTACGCTTGATTTTAAGCCTTTGTGCCTTTAGTTTCATTTGCAGATCACATTACTGATCTTGACAGCAACTCAGGTTTTAGATATAAAAAACTCTTTTGAAGTAAAACACAAATTAGTTATCTAGTAGTGATGGAGAAGTACATTTGAGAAAGGCATGTTGCTTACTATTTGCTGAAATTAGTAATTAAAATAAGGTGGGCTTCCATTAGCAAGGACAGTATGTGTTGAGAGGAGGCAGATCATAAAGAAATGCTGTTTCCCAATTCTTATGCAGCCCTTCTCAAATGAGTTGCTTCTATTGCCTGTTGAACAAATCCAGCAAATCATCTTATTATGAGCCATGGTGGCATACTGCTGGCTACTCCTGCTGACTGCAGCTGTCTGCAATTTGGCAGTTCAAATCTCACCAGGCTCAAGGTTGACTCAGCCTTCCATCCTTCTGAGGTGGGTAAAATGAGGACCCAAATTGTTGGGGGCAATAGGCTGACTCTGTAAGGGTTGTAAAGCACTGGGAAGCAGTAAGTCTAAGTGCTGTTGCTATTATTGATCAAAATGCAAATCTCCATACACAAACCTAGTTTATGAGTATTTGTGCTTCCTCCCCCCTCCATCACCAGAATCGGTCCCACTTATTATGGGAACTGAATTAAAAAACCCAGTGCGATCCTGTGCACTGAACATCAAGATCCAATCCCATGGGAACTTGTCTTATGTAAATTCTTATTTATTTTAGTAAAAGGAATAATCAAGAAGCAGTAGCACACATCAGTAGTTAACTATTTTGATCTGACTCTTGCTACTATTAACAATCACCAATGTATCTTTTGAGGATGTGTTGGAATTTCCTTATTCTTAACAAGATCATTCTGGGATGATTAAAAAAAAGCAGACAGTTAAATGTAGTTAAGTAAAAATAATGAAAACAAGCTGTTTGGTGAGCAGTGGCAAGCATCCATCCATCCAGCCCAGGTTGTAGACATTACAGTCTGTCCCTTCTTTATTAACCCCCTTTGTCCAGTCATCAAGTTCCCCCCTCAAATGATTCCATTTCAAGGACTTCCTTTCTTTCTTATGTCCAATTTTCGTGAAACCACATTTATCTAATAAGCTGTCCTTGGGGGTGTATACCTTATCTCACTTTCCTGGACAAGCTGTCTCAAATGCCTCTGAGCAGTGAAGAGTAAGAATGTCAACAAGTCTTAAAACAAGATATGGCTTCTCAAACTAAGTAAAAGTGTAAATGCTTCAAATAAAATATTCCAATACTATAGTCTATAAAATATTCTAACGGCTGTTTAAGAATTTCTTCTCTTTGTAGGGCCACTTCTATCCTTCTCTGCCAATGACTATTAGGAGGATATTGGTCTTTATTCCAAATTCAGATACAAAAGAGACAGGACTACTATAATTCAGAAACTTGAAACCTAGTTGAATTGATTGGGAACTTTTCTTCCTTTCCAGGTTGGCGACATATGTTCCTCCAAACATGTTCCTTCTATATTTACCATATTTTAAATTTCTCCTATAAATAATATCAATCAGCTACTTGTTGCTTGGGAAATTAAAATTTATTTCTGGCAAGCTTCATCGATTTAAATTTTTTTTAAAAAAAACAAATTTTATTAATTTTCAAAGACAATACACAGACAAATAAAACATAAAACGTAAGAACATAGAACATCTTTTCTAAGAACTTCTTAACAAAACAAATAAAACATCTTATTTAAGTACAACATAATTCTAAATTATCACATTTCCATACAAACACAATTTAATATGCATCTTATGTATTCAACTTCATATCTTATTACTCTTTTTCCAACTTCTCACTGTTTCTTCCTTTACTTCTGTTCAATTTTATTCATTAAACTTATACTTTCATCTATTTCATATTACTATATTTCATATTATTACTGTTTCATATGTTCTTATCCAACATTATTAATTCTCAATAAACAAACATAAACAAACAAAATACATAACATAAAGACATAAAACTTCTTTTTAGAAAGCGGCTTAACTCCGGGTTACAACTTTTTTTTTTTTTTTGGAAAAATACTTTATTAGTTTTACCTTTAAAAGAACAACACAACTACAAATTATGTACAACAAAAAGACA